TGCTCTTGGCCGGAGCCTCGCCTGGGTTCTGCGACTTCTCAATCTGTCCGATCAAGAGCTCGAAAGCCTTGCCCACGTTCTCGTTGTATCGCGCGCTCGCCTCGGTCCAGCCGCATTGTATCTTCTCCGAGAGTTTCTGTCCGTCTTCGGGCGTGACCTGTCGTTGCTCGGGGCGCAAATCGCTCTTGTTGCCAACGATGCAGATGGGGACCGACTCGGTGCCCTAACATTGGTGGTTCAGCTTCAGCTTACGCATTGCTTGTTTCGGGTTCTGGGAGCACTTACCAGGTGGTTGAGGATCTTCTCGCGAATGACTTGCACCATTTCGAAGGAAGGCAGTGATGATACTGAGTAGACAAGCATGTAGCCATGGATGCCGATAAAGTGCTTCGAGTTGAGAATGCTGTACTCGTCCTGACCCGCTGTGTCGACGATCTCGGTTGAGTAATCTTGGCCCTTGTACTTGATCATCTTGCTGAAGGTATTCTCAATCGTAGGATAGTAGCTGTCGACGAAGTGGCCATCGACGAACCGCACTGCTAGAGACGACTTGCCTGCGATGCATCCATCGTCAGCAAACGTAATTGAGCATTTGGAATTAAATCGCCATCTGTTGAATAAAGAATAAAGAAATTGAGAAATACTGACCGACTGAGCGGCTGCCGACAATAGCGACCTTTCTTTGCTTGGGAGAAGGCATCGTGCAACAACGTTGAGTGGCAATGAATCAAAAGTGAAACAGCGTCCGAACTGCGTGCGTGCGTTTGTTGAACCTGGAGTTGAGTTTTCACGCCCGAAAGGAGTAAATATTGGGCGTACAGCAACTGAGACCAACAGCGGCAAAAATAGATGATGAAGAAAAAGAGAGAGAAAAAAGAGTCTCGATGATGACGATGGTGAATGTATGATGTGTAACTTTAGTACAGTACCTAAGGTACGGTACCTCAGCTGGGGGTGATATGGTATCCGGAAAAGGGCCTGGAACTTCAGGTGCACGCACTCACGTCAGTCAAATCAAATCAGCTCAGATCAGATGCTACAGGTCTCGAATGCAGTAAAAAAGGAGCCCATCTTTTTCCAAACTAACCCAAGGTCATTCCTGATGGGCAGGAACTGCAACTCTATGTACCTACTGCAAGCCCCCCCTCCACTCCAACAAGAACGGGAGCCCCTCCCCCTCCCTTTGCATCATACAGCCCGAGAAAGATACATAACTGTGCTGCCTCTCCCCTGTAAGTGACGCGTGAACTTGCATGGTTGGTTACCTTAGTAGTCTTCCTCACTTGATGCATAACCCAACACCAACAAGTAAAGTATGCACTAAATCGCACCGGGAATAATTCCAACAAGAGCCTCAGATCATGCATTTGTCACAGAAGCAACAGCGAATCTCAGTATCAGTATCAGCAAATATGGTCTTTCCAGTGACCTGGTATCGATTCTTCTTCTCATCTATACACTCTCTCGCTAGCAAATATGCCCAGAAGTGGCTGTGGTCCATCCGTCATACAAAGTAAAAGGGAAAAAAAAAGGGAGAGTCATACTCAGAACATTGTCCCAAAAACATTCCCTAGCTCAAGTCATGTCCATGCGTATATAATCAACTATTGTCGTCGCAGTCGTTGTAATTCGTTGACGAGCCCTTCCAGCTCCGTCACCTTGTTGTCCACTGATCTATACATTCCGATGAATTCCTTGATCGATCCAATAAGACCTGGGAGTCCCTCGCTTCCCGCTTGCTCCTTAAGTCGTTGCCGGGCTGCGTCTTCCAGAGATAAGTAGCCTAGCAAGACGGAAAGGTAGCCAAATGCCACGCCCAGCTTCGACTTCTCTACAGAATCGGCCTATAACATCATTGTCAGTTTCAGATATGTCAGCACCAACGAGCAAACTTACCTCTAGCATCAAGGCCTGATTCTGTAAGTATACCTTCACCAGGCCGTCCAGCTGCGCCCCGGTGATGTTCTCACGGGCGGGAGCGCAGTGTTCTAGTATATTGATCGTCATACCGAGCACTAGAAGGAGCCCATCATAAGTCTCCTCCTTCAGACGTCGGTTGCTCATAGCGTCCAGGGCCGATTTGAAGCCAGATAGAATGCATTTCGATAGACTCGATAGCAGGATCACATCACTAAAGGCCGCCGCACCGTGAGTCGTGTTGGACATGTTGATCGAGAGCTTGAGAATCGCTACTTCGATGTTTCCGAGCTTATCTGGCCATTGCTGGAGGCTGTTCTCGAGAATACGTGCCACTTGATGCGATTGCTGCGCAATCCATGTGACTTCATTGGCATCGTTCATCGCCAGTCCTGATTGTGACTCCAGTATTGATATAATGAGAGCAGTCGCTGCATCGGTTCTAGGGCTTGTACTCGTACAATGGGACAGGATGGTCTCAAGATCGTCCTCCACGTCCTTGACAACTACTGATGAGTGCGTCGCATCGATTCGTTGGCACACAACGTTCAGCAGTTGAAGTGCAAGAGTTTGAGGAGAGAGCTTCTCGGGGCGACGGCCATGCCAAATATTCATCTTCTTGAGCGTAGTCTTGACCTCGCTCAGAGAGGCTCTCGTCGTCTTGGCGAGCCTCAGTCTCCCTGACGCGAGTTCGTCAATGTCTTCAGGCACCCGTAAAAGGACAGAGAGCATTTGTCCCAGTCCGTCATCAACAAGCTGTTGCAAGAGGTGGGCTGCTGGACTGAAATGGAGAAACGACACAAGAACGGCTGACAAGGCGAATCCGCAAATGATATCCTGTTCTTGACCAATGTTTGCTGCGACTTTATCGCGAGTTGCGTGATCCCGGAATTGGCTGATAAAGTCCTTGTTTTGTAGCTTCTGAGAAAGCTCCAGGAGTGCCCCTCTCCTCAATGAAGATGAAGAGCTTCCAGGTGTTCCTATCCGAGCAAGCAGGTCCTCCATCTCATCGGCAAAGCGATTGTTGGCTCCAGCTCTCCGTAGTTCATGAACGCTCTTGATAGCAGGTCGTGTACCTCCGTCTCCGTCGGCATCATCGGAGTCGTCCATGGCAAATGGATCAGCGTTGGTGGGTTCGGGGGGCGTAGCGAGAAGCGCATCCAGCTCTTCTTCCACCGTCATGGGCTTTTCCTGGCTGGGCTCGCTGAGCTTCGAGGAAGACTCAGTCAGGATGGATCGAGATTGGCCATACGTGAACTTGACTCTTCGACTTTTGAGTGCAACCGCAGTGCGGTTTCTAGGTCGTATGGTAGAGTCTTGGGAATGGTTTTGGGAGTTGTTTTGTGATTGTTGAGAGGGAGTCGCACCTCCACTATCTGTACCGCTATTCAGGGGTAATTGTGATTTGGGCTTCTCTTCTTCGGAAGCCGAGTCTTCCGACCCTGAACTTTCTGCCCGCTGAGCCGCCAGCCTGTCAATCAATCGCGGTCGTCGTTTCTTCGGTCTCGGTGATTCGTCATCGCGGTCCTTAGCCGTTGATTGCGCCGCACTTGAGCTGAGTTTTGAGGTTGGGATATCGGATTTGCTTCGAGGGAGGGGTCTAGATCGAACATTCGAACTTTTTGGACTCTTCTTTGAAACTGGTAGTTGGGGAGGAGGAGCGCTGGCTTTGGTCTCATTTTCAGAGGCTCCAGCTACAGGTCGCTTTGGTAGTGTAGTCGCAGGCTTCATTTGTTTCGGTTTTGTTTCTGCTTCAATTGGTTCAGAAGGCGCAGCTTCTATGCGCTTTCTTTTTCTCGTGTCCGTCGCATCGCGTGGTTTTGGTTTCTGATCATCTCCGGCTTTCGCGCCAGCGGGTTCATCGGGTCGCTTCTCAACAACGTGTTTTGGAGTTGGCTCCGATGTCGATCTCGGTAGCGACGGTTTTGACGGCTTCGCGACTGGGGCGGCAGAATCAGGGCGGCTGCTCGGTGCAGTGAACGACTCCGTGGGTTTGAATGGCATCGCGTCGCGCATGAAACGCTTGCGCACAGGTTTGCCATACGTCATCACCTTGCGCGGGACTGAAGCTGTCGAGCTGTTTCGTGAAGCCATAGTGTGCTACAGTCCTATGAGCAGAACGCGACGGTTGGAGTGGTGGGTTTATATCATATAATGAGGTTGTTGGAAGTTGAAGGGATAAGATAAAACGATACAGATGGTTGTGGAGGTAAGTCGCACCCGTTAGTGGCAGGTTGTTTCAACACGCCGGCAAATAAAGGGACAAATAATGCGGCGCGTTACCACGGATGCAGTTGCAAAAAAAAAGGACGATAAAAGGAAAGCGAGCACAATAGATGAATAATAAAGCTGAAGATCTTTCACATTGAATCACTGTCAGGGTGGATGGATTCATCAATGAAATGTTGAAAGGCTAGACTGCGGCTGCAGTGCCGTGTTTAGCACAAAAGCTTGGGTCGCATTTCGGCTGTCAATAGGTACCTAGGTAGAGAGAGCTAAAAACAGAAACACGTTCAATAGAAGAACATTACTCTATAGTAACAAAGAACAATTAAAGTAAATTAATTGCATAGAGTGCATTTTTGTTAAATGGCTTCTGATGCGCCACTTCTATTGTTCTCATCCCATCTCCATTCTCTATACCATTGGATATCCATTCTCATCTCCACTGCTGCTATCATGAATCCACGCCCATGCCACTGTCATGCAGTGACTAGAGTGAGTGCGGTCTCCTCCGGTTTTGTGAGTATCGCAGGGTAGGGTCCAGGCGCCGCCGGCCGATTTGCATCCCCGTTTTAAGCATATGCAAGACCAATACGATTGAGCATAGCAAGCGGGCAATGCAGGGCTACCGACTTGTCTTATCCTCGAGAGCTCTAGTTGATGCCGAGCTCTTCTCTCCGCCTTTCAATTCATTCAATCTTATACCTAAACCTCTTTCATTTTGCTCTTCAACCTCTTTCTAGGTTATACCTACGATTGTACTCCGCTCGCCCACTGGAAATATCTGAGCTTTACTTCAACCCCGCCATCACCGCTGACTTCTTACACCACCTCAAACACTAACAACAACAGCAGCTAACATGGCGGACAAGACTCAAGATACTCACACGACACCCGTCGGTCCCTCGTACCGCGCTCACCAGCAGAAGCCCAGTGCCACCGTCTCTGTCGATGTCAAGCTAGACAATGTCCATGTTCTATCGCAGACCCCTCAGCTCATTGCCCTACTGTCGTATGTCCACCTCCCTAATTGGGCCACCCAAACCTCGGAGCTGAGAATCGTCCAGGAAAATTCGTAGCAAGGAGACCGAGAGAGCAGACTTCATCTTCTACTCCAACCGAATCATTCGATTGCTAGTTGAGGAGGGTCTCAACCACTTGCCTGTCATTGAGCACACTGTCACTACACCCATTGGCCGAAATTACAATGGTCTCATGTTCCAGGGCAAGATCTGCGGAGTATCCATCATGAGAGCTGGCGAGGCTATGGAGCAGGGTCTCCGTGACTGCTGCCGCTCTGTTCGTATTGGAAAGATCTTGATCCAGCGTGACGAAGAGACGGCCCAGCCCAAGCTGTTCTACGATAAGCTGCCCGAGGATATTGCTGACCGATGGGTGCTTCTTTTGGATCCTATGTTTGCTACTGGTACGCGCACGATATCCCATTTCACATGTCTTTCGTGTCGCAATCCGTCTAACGCTGATATACAGGTGGCTCTGCTACCATGGCAGTTCAGGTTCTCAAGGCCAGGGGCGTTCCTGAGGAGCACATCCTGTTCCTCAACTTGATTGCAAGCCCCGAGGGTGTCAAGAACTTCTCCGCCAAGTTCCCCCGCTTGAGGGTCGTGACGGCTTTCATCGATGAGGTTTGTCACACCGCCTGCATTCACCGTCGCAACGTAACGGCTAACCGGACATTTCTAGGGTCTCGACGAGAAGAAGTATGGAAGCTCAACTCCGATGACACATGATGTGCTGACCAATCAACAGTTATATCGTTCCTGGCTTGGGAGACTTTGGAGACAGATTTTACACCATCTGAGAAAGGAGTCATCGCAAAGGTTATATATCCCGAGTCGTAGGCGCATAGAAAGGGGTCGTCGAGTCATGGGTGTAACAAGTCTTGGTATTGATACAAGGCGCATAAAAGAAACGATTAATAGTCATCCTCTCCGTAGTGCTCGTCGTCGTCTTCATCGACCGCCGTTCGGTTACCTCGTCCAGCTCCTGCTCGAGATGTGCCAGTGTAGCCAGGCTCCGCGTTGTCCTCTTTGGCGACGGCGTCTACAAGTTGTTAGAGATTGTCGATGGAGTCGTAGAAGGGATATTGTAGACTGACCTGCTGCATCAACCCATTCACCGTAAACGTCAACCGCCGCAGACAGATCTGTCGCAAAGTTAGCACACAATGCGCCGGAGGCAAAGGAGAGTCCGTGGAAGCCGTACAGTTGACCGCGCATTGGAACTTTTGTCCGCAGACACGGCAGTCGAGTTGTCCGACACCCGCCTTCTTGTCCAGCTTGACCGAAACCGAGTTTTCGTGGTTACAGAAGAGGCATGCGAAAGTGGTAGGAAGGGGATCTTTCTGGATTAGTGTGAGCGCAAAAGCCCCAGGGCCCCCCTAAGACAGAGAATACGAAAATGAAATGACAAGGGATCGGCTTGGAAGACGGACCTTCTTGGGCCCCATGGGCTTGCTTGAGGACTTGCGCTTGCCCATGATGTCTGTGAGTTCCGCGATTCGTGCGCGACCGGAACGAGAAGAAACGCGAAACGGGGAAAAAAGATGATAGTGAATTTGCTGATGTCAAGCTTTGGGCTAGACTAGGCAGCCCAGGGCAGTCGCAGGAAACAAGGCGCCAGTCAGGGATGTTTCGTTTGGTTCGTTATCTTATCAGCAAGAGAAACTCTGTTTGTCGCATTGCACGTGCTCACTGTCTAACAAGCGGGTTTGGGCTCTGTTAGTGCGGCAGTTGGACGGTAGGGCGTGTTTCTAGTGCATGCATCAAGCGGGGAGACAAGCCCTATTGCCCCGCCCCCGCCTCCCGGCGACCTCCGTGATTCTATATGTGAACGCCGGATTCCGCGAAGGCGATCCTTATCGGACTAGAAGAATGAGGATAAGAGGATAAGCTTGGAGAGCATTGATATCAGGATTGCATGGGTTAATTTAGAGGGTCCTTTGTTCGTTGATGCCGTATCAATGGATGGATGCGTGTTGGGTGTGTGACCATCGACAGACAAAGACAAGTGAGTAAATGAGAAAACAGTCAGAGACATGAGCAAACAACCAACTCAAACAAACCAACCAATGACTAGAGAGACAACCTCACTAAAAACGGAAGCATCTTCCTTGCATATTCTCCTGACCATCACCTTCTACACCGTCACCTTGTCCTTCACCTTGAGTTTGGGCGCTGACGACTAAACGCAGGGGGATTCCCCTCCGATTTGGCGGGGTAGCTCCCCTGGCCTGGCCGGTGGGGATTGAGGCTTGAGACTTTTGAACGTGCCGTCTTATCATGTGGTCTCTTATCAGCGAATCGTGAACTGTCAATTCCATGCTGATAGACGCAGGTCAGTCACTGGCTATCATGACTGCTCCTTGTTGGGAGAGCTCCCCTCTCCTCTCTCCTTTACTTGACTTGGTAGCTAGCCCGATTACGGCGGCCCGTTACTTGAAAGTTATGATTGTATAGGGGCCTCTCCCGTTGATCTGCTGACCTTGGAAGGTGACACATGAGGTTAGAGTAGCACAGTTAGGGTGATACGGATCTTGATATCTGCAATTTATGTGCTATCTGAAGTCTTTGGAGGTCGGGGATGTGCTACAGCTCCCCCTGCTCATGACGACCCCGTTGCAAGGCATGTGTCACCATGGATGGCTTTCTCCGACCGCTCTTCCTGTTGTTCCGGTCACTCTCCATGTTTTTCTCTTCCTTCCTTTCTGAAAAGTAAACTCTCCTTCTCTTTCTTTTCTTGAACTGTATCATATCGACTCCTCTGCGACACATATCGCAACCTCACATTTGCAACACAGTCTACCCTAGAGATCCGCACTCAACCCCACGTCTACGTCTACCGCCATCATCATGGCGTCTGACGATCAGCAATCCAGCATGCTGGAAGCTCTACAGGAGATTCAGCGCACGCAGGCTCTTCTAGTGAACGCGGTCGAATCGCTTTCTGGTAGATCGATCGAAGAATCAGGTGGAGATGCTGGCAAGAACGCCATCCTTGAGCCAGGTTCTCGTGAAGATGACAATGAGGGTGAAACGCCTTCGGTAGAAGTTCCTGCTGCCTCTGGAGACAAATTGAAAGCTCCTGCGCTTCCCTCACCCGACCAGCGCCAGCAGCAAGGATTCACATCGCGTATTATTCTGACGTGAGGATTCCTGTGTACAAGCTCCACTAACACTGTTTGCTCACACAAGGTAACTAGGACTTACCCCAAGCAGATTGGAATTAATCCTTTGCCCATGGACTGGGGGAATCAAGACCCCGTTAAGCGTGGCCCTATCGTAGTTTCAAGGGCTGCTTCTACTATTCGACGTCGTAATGGTTCGTCCGTCCGTCCGTCCGCGTCTGTGATGCATGTGTGTTAGTTAGTGTTACTGACTTTCGTAACTTGCGTTTAGCCGTTGGAGGTTTGTTATGTCCCCCTTTACTGATGTATCCATTCGTTAACCGTGTTGTCTAGCCCAGTGAGTTATCAATCAACGTTGATTTCGAGAGGAACTATGCTAAACAAGTGGTTAGTGGTGGTTCGTACTCGATCTACTATGCCCTCGCCGTCGCCAGCAACGAATTGAACGCCGACCACCGGTATGTCCTTTGTATCCAATCCGAAAATCCATAACTAACGCTGCCTTCACAGTCCCGACTTCACCAACACCGAGCCGGCCGCGAACATTGGCCCTTTCCCTCAATGGGGAGACCCCAAGAAGATTGTTGCCATGGACCCCTGGGGACATCTCGCTCCTTGGCTGTTCAAGGACACCATCGAGAAGGACAACGGTACGAATTGTGATAGCAATTGATAAAACGGTGTTACTGACGGCTTCGTTAGTCGATATTCGACCAACCATTGCTATCACCAAGGCTCATATGAAGGTCGGTGTTTGGATCGACTAGCAGATGAAATAGCTGTCGCTAACATTCTTATCAGCTTCCTGAACTTGCCGAGAGTGTCAAGGCCGGCAGACTGTAAGTTCGCTCTTCTGTTATTCTCGTAATACAAGCTGACCTTTGTAGGGTACCCGATGGCAAGGTTTGCCTGAATGATCAGGGTGAACTGGCTGTCACCAAGTTTGCCGTTGAACCAGTATGTTCCCAGCACAAGTAGTCAAAGCAAGTCTGACCTCACGCTCTAGGTCTGGTACCTCCCCGGTGTGGCAGAGCGATTCGGAATCGGTAAGTATACAGTCATTGCTTGATGTTGTATAACAACTAACATGACAAAGACGAGGCCACCCTACGACGTTCCCTGTTTGAGCACACAGGAGGAAGCTACCCGGAGGTAAGCAAGCTTTGTGCCGGAAGATCTCACTGCTAACACGTTCAAGCTTATCACCCGCGGAGACATCAAAGTATTCCTTCCTCCGATTGGCGGTCTCACTGTGTACTGCTTCGGAGATCCAGCCAAGATGTCGGATGAATCGGTTCGACTGTCTCTGCGAATCCACGACGAGGTATGATTCCCCGACTTTGTGTAAGACCACGAACTCACCGTGTTCTGCAGTGCAACGGTAGCGACGTGTTCGGATCTGATATCTGCACTTGCCGTCCTTACTTGATCTTTGGTATCGAGGAAGCCGTCAAAGAGGCTCAGAATGGTGGCAGTGGTGTTGTCATCTACTTCAGAAAGGAAGGCCGTGCGTTGGGAGAGGTCACTAAGGTAAGTGTTGCCTGATCACAACTCACAGAAGCAAATCTAACTATTTTCCCAGTATTGTAAGGAAGAAATCCCTCAAGATTCGGAGAAGCAGCCGTCGCGCAGATCTGGGGTACTAATTCTGGGGTAGTGGTCTACAACGCCCGTAAACGCGGAGCCGATCGCGCATCAGACTATTTCAAGAGGACCGAGAACATTGCAGGTGTCAAGGACATGCGATTCCAGGCTCTCATGCCGGATATCCTGCACTGGCTGGGCATCAAGAAGATTGACAGGATGCTTAGCATGAGCAAGTGAGCGCCTGAGAGTCGAACACGTTGAGGAATTGACAGCTGACATATCTCTAGCATGAAGCATGATGCGATTGTCGGACAAGGGTAAGCTGATGATGAGCCGGTCTTGTTAATTTTTGATGCGAGATTAACATGATTTCAGAATTCCTATCCATGAGAGGGTCGAGCTTCCAGAAGAACTGATACCCGCTGACTCGCGAGTCGAAATTGACGCCAAGATTACAGCTGGTAAGTGAAATGAGAGCCGGCCGACGAGATGAGGCCCCAGCTCTATAACCAAGGCGGACACTAACGGAGATGAAGGCTATTTCACCACTGGTAAACGTATGACTACCGAAGAGCTCCAGGCAGTCCAGGGAAGAATATGGGAAGAGTGAGTACTGTCCAATCCGACTGTCAGGAGCAAAGACTGATGATTGTGGCAGCTTCGATCATTAAACGAAACCGGATAGATACGGGCTCGAGCTGTATGTACATACAGCAGGGACGTGGCGCAGAGGGTCGCGGGGTGCGTCAGCAGCTTCCCAAGTTTGCAGGTTACTGCAGGTCGGTCTGAGCCGTTTTGCGTGGGGGAAGGATGATGATTGCTCAGAATCCATACGATGGCGACGATGCCACGGTACCATTCATCCGTGTTGTTGGGGCTGAGTGTCCCGAACGAGGTACCCGGTCAAGGTGGCAGGTCATACAGGGCAGTTGATGGGTTGGATACAGTGAGAGAAGACCGTTGGGAGCATCCGTTTTCGAGTTTAAGCGCGTCCAGGAGGGAGTTGCTAGCAAGGTTGTGCATGCTGTAGAGGTTGCGAGATTTGAAGATGTAGAGTGACTGACACCGGATAGTGAGTGGAACTCGGAATGGAAGCCTACCCTACCCTACTAACGTTAGTAAGGGGATGATGGGCCAGGATAGATAGTGCCGAATGAATTGAATATCCACCTTTCGAGGCCCGTCCGTACTCCGTAGGTTGTTCCTAATGGAATCGGTGAGGCGGTCACAAGTCACAAGGACCGTTTTTAATCAGTTGTAATTGCATATTTTTCTGACTCCGACACCGTATCCGACTAAAGGAGCATTTACCGAACACCGATACAACCTTAACCTTGCACGGTACGGTACAGTATGATAAGGCACCCATGTATGATTGTATGTGTGAGAATGGAGTCGCTTCTGTCGATGTCTGTACACGTGTAGAGCACGTCTTGTGGTCACGAGCATGAGCATGAGCCAAGGGCAAGGGGTCGGGTCAGTCAAATGCGATGTGAGGCACGAGCCGGAAGAGATTAATACCCAAGGTACCATAGATAACTCAGTCGCCTTGAACTGAATTGACTCTGCTGCTATCAAAAGAAAACCTCCGAAGGTTGCTTACCCCGGCCCGAGAAGACGATCAACGATCCATCACCATGCTATGCTATGCTATGGTATGCTGCCATGCCGTGCCATGCCATGCAGTTCCATGTTGTGCCATGTTTATTGCCGAACTGGGTGGATTAATTGCCCCAGGTGATTAACGTGTACATCAATGATCTTGGCCATGGTTCATTCATGTTCATCAGGTACGAGGCCATCCATAGGTGATGGTCAAGGTAATGATTGTCTAACAGAATGCTCATCACGGTGAATAATATTCCGTTTCTAAATGGCATCGCATCACAAACCCATCATCCTGCTTGCTTGTAACCCAACCCACATCCAAAGATCCAGCCCCCATCCAGAAACGCTCTCGACTATACACCATCAAAAGGGAGACCGATACGCTAGAGAGCCTTGGCCTAACGGATGGCTTTTCGTTCTAGTTAACTTAGTATCCAAGCGAGGGTTGGTGAATAGTGTCATGGACGCGTATTTTCGATCGATGCAATACATGGCATATAGAGTTCACTCAGATGCAATGCCAATTCTCAAGTTTGATCCCATTCCAAGGAAAACAAACAATACAGCGTTTCGTCTTCCTAAGCGGTATGCATCTTGACGACCTGTTGGGTAGCAATGCGACAGTAGCTCCGACAGGTATTCCCATAATTTTGCCTTACCGCCAGAAGTGCCCTAGGTCTACCCATTCCACTATCCACGTTCCGCCAGGCCCGAATAGACGAGTGCCTCAGCAGGGCGAGTCATCACTGGCTTTACAGGCTTGGAGACCCCCGCATATGCCTGCACGGGAAACCCGCCTGCAGTCCCCGGGGCCCGCGTCCCTAGCCAAAAAGGCCCAGGGGGACAAAGACCAGGATTCTGGGCCATACACCAGGAGACACGCACCAAAACCAGCGAGTGGAAGATGGGTTGGTGTTGGCAACCAGATGCAGCGATGAGCCGACAAGTGGCAAGCAGACGAAAAAAAAAAGACTCTTTTACTATTCTGAGAGTATGAGCCTGGTCTGTTACCTGGACTGCGGCCTTTTTCGATCACGAATCGAGGACCCCATCGTTGCGTGATGCCAAAGAGTCTAACCTCTGAATGGCCGAATACTGCGCGTAGTTAGAGGCTCCCTGTACAAGATGTACCTGTACCGAGAGAGAGAGAGGTTCGGAGAGGGAGCGGTACCCATGTCGGCCAACTCCAAAGCTTGTTGTTACTGTAATGATGACTTGCTGTGCAGCGAAGCGCACACGCACGCACACGTCCCCAATGCAATGGCACCCTTGTTTATTACCTTACTTAGCTTACCCGCCTGGTCTAACCGCAGCCGTGGTAGCTCTACCACATGTACACGAGGAGGTGGTTGATGTTGTGTGTGGATGTGGATGTGGATGTGGATGCCTTGATATTTGTCTCTATGTACATACTTATTCGAGCTACTGCCAGCTCTTCCCATCCATCCAAAGTCTCTTTCACTTTCTTGTCATTCTTCTCAAATGTGAAACCATCTTTCCAACTTACCTATTTTAATGCACATACAACTTTCAGCCTTCAACAATCAACACATCTGATATACACAATGGCCTCTTACATACGAGACAGTCGAAGTTCGGTGAGGGCTCATAGGCGAGACTCGTCGTCATCATCATCCTCAAACACAAACTCCAACCGCACAAGACCACGACTTCTTCGCTCTAGTGCAACGGAACCTTCAATTACTGCTTCAAATGCCATCAGAGGTTCATTCGCTGGCCCTGGTTCACCACAAAGAGCAACTGATCTCCTCAACCGTGTTGCCGTCTACTCGCCATCTCCAGAAGCCTCGACTCCAGGTTCAGTCTCACGCCACGCCGAGCCCATCTCAATCTGCCGTGACGACCGAGAGCATTCGCCCTCCAGCAGCCCAGGAGGCCAATCCGTCGTGATGGTCGACTCACCATCTGGTACGTCTAACATCAACTTCTGTACACTAGTTGATACTAACATCAATCAAGGTTATTACTTTAGCTTTCCTAGCTTTGAGGAATGGAACAGGGACAGCCAAGAGGACATGAACAAGGACTCAGATGACTGAAGTGCGACGGGAAAGAGGGTGAGAGGAGCCAGATGGCCTCGAACCGAAAAAGGAAAACAACATTACTACGACAGAGCGACATCAATAGTCGCTCATCCAGCACGGCCACACTCTCAATGAGATGGTGGAGGCCTTCGCTGACGGCTCAAAGAGGAGCAAGGGACAGCGAGGCCATTGGAACCAAGGGATCAGAAACGCATCATCGGCCAACAACCACAAACACAAACACACCGGGCTTTTACCAATATGAGACTGGAATAAATGAGGCTGTGGCTGGCTGATTGCGCCCTAGGACTAGGCTGGGTGGATAAAGGTGAAAGGCTTCTTGGTAGAAGAGAAGCGGACACTGAAAACGAGCTGTACACGATAAATGAATGAATAAGGAATAGCTGCACCTTTTAGAAAGGTGGAGTGGAAGGGGGACCAACAACAGAACAGAACGGTCTGGGTGAATCCCAGGACCCATTCATTGACAGAAAGAAAGACGCTCAGATCCATCCAGTTGGACGAGCTCTGCTAAAACACAAAGAAAACAGATAAAAATTATATACATCTCCCTGAAACATATCATAATTCATAAGTTGTAACAAATCTTGGTTATCAGATGTGATGAAACAACATAAACTATGACATACTTTGGCTGTCGGTTCCTTGAATAGAGACTCTGATGACAGCATCCATTGTAAGCAGAGGGTCTTGGTAGGACAAGAGTTAACCGTCCATGCCTGTGGGCCAAGGTAGACCTCAGGAGGCAAGAAAACAGCGAAGCTGGCTATAAGGTATCAAAATAAACGTAGCAAAAGTCATCCTAATCTTAGGCTATATTACCTAAGTCTTTTTGTCATCTAAAATCGAGGACCTGTGTTTTCTTTCCTCCCCTACCTAGGTACTAAGGTAGGTAGACTTGAAAAGAGACTATTGTGGCTGTGGCTGGCTGGGCTGTGGCTAGCTTCAAGTACGTACCCTCCAGTAGTAAAATTTCAAACGGAAGGCACGTGATGTGGTCGTTCTTGCCCTCCAGTCCATTATTTTTCGATCCCACAAAGCTTTAGCGCCGGAAGAACAATTGGACCGCGACTTTTCGATCAATCCGTCGCTTAGACCTAAGCTGCTGCACACAAAGATTGAAATTATTTCGCCCCTCCAACCACTCTCTCACCAGTACCATCTCTCCAACGGTTCACACACAAGCCAGCAAACATGGCGGTTGGAAAGTGAGCATCACCCACGACGACAAGCTTGTGATGAGTACAATGGGCTTACGCGTTACTTCAGGAACAAGAGACTCTCCAAGGGCAAGAAGGGCCTCAAGAAGAAGACGGTCGACCCCTTCTCCCGAAAGGACTGGTACTCAATCAAGGTTGGTTATCTCGAAACGCGCACGACATCAACTCCTGGCTAACTCGTTTTTCAAGGCCCCTAACCCCTTCAACGTTCGAGAGTGAGTGACGACCGCGCGACGAATCTGCATAAAAAGTTTGTGGGATATGGGAGATTAACAAATTTTGCAGTGTCGGCAAGACCCTCGTGAACCGAACCACCGGTCTCAAGAACGCCAACGACGCTCTCAAGGGCCGTATCCTCGAGGTCTCTCTCGCCGATCTCCAGAAGGATGAGGACCACTCTTTCCGCAAGGTCCGCCTCCGTGTCGACGAGGTTCAGGGCAAGAACTGCTTGACTGCTTTCCACGGCCTCGACTTCACCTCCGACAAGCTCCGATCCCTGGTGCGAAAGTGGCAGACCCTCATTGAGGCCAACGTCACTGTCAAGACTACCGACGACTACCTCATCCGCCTCTTCGCCATCGCTTTCACCAAGCGACGACCCAACCAGGTCAAGAAGACCACCTACGCTGCCTCTTCTCAGATTCGGGCTATCCGACGCAAGATGACCGACATCATCCAGCGTGAGGCCTCAAGCTGCACCCTCACCCAGCTTACCTCCAAGCTCATTCCCGAGGTCATTGGCCGCGAGATTGAGAAGTCCACCCAGGGCATCTACCCTCTCCAGAACGTGAGTAAAATCATTGTCCTCGGTCACGCATGAATCTGAAGGTCTAACAATTCCCAGGTCCACATCCGAAAGGTTAAGCTGCTCAAGGCCCCCAAGTTCGACCTTGGTGCCTTGATGGCTCTGCACGGCGAGTCTGGCACTGATGACCAGGGCCAGAAGGTTGAGCGGGAGTTCAAGGAGCGTGTCCTGGAGGAGGTTTAAAAGGATTATTTTGGCAGGTTGGCGCGGGGTAGGCAATAGGGGCCTCGCGGCTAATAAACTCATCCCTACCAAATTGTTTCGGTCATCGCAAATGGCGTAGCATCACAAGAGGAGCTCCGGGGATTGGGTTCATGTTCCTTTGAATGAATGGTAAAAAAAAACGTTCGGTCAACACGGCGAATGATTTATGACGTGTGACTTGCTTGTTACGACATTGGCTGCTGTGGTGACTTGACGCTGGTCGTGAGGGACGTTTTGAGATGAGAGCCGTAGAAGAATTCTAAGCTGATACCCTATCTACCCAACATCACAGTTCCATTCCAAGGTGCTCAATATTGTGTGCATGAATTCTAATATTCAGTGTATCTCTATCTATTGAACGTAGGGTAATAATACAGAGGCGATGAAAATGTTGTCCAGCATTCGCCCCAAATAGTGGGACAAGACCCATGATGCTCAATTCACCTGCGTCACTCGGACTTTTGAAGAAACTCAACGACAGCTGTCGATTATTAGTGCCTATCCAAAAACTCTGGGCCCATCAATCGGGCACTCACCTTGTCTGAACGCCTCAGGTTGCTCTGAAATGAGCCAGTGACCAGCATCGATATCAACAAGTCGAAACTTGGGGAAGAATTGGCCAATCAGAGGTAGCACGTCGTCGGGGACGTACTTGCTCTGGGTACCTCGAACGAACAGAGCCGGTTTCACAAACCGGACCTCATTGGGGTTCTTGTAAGGAAAATCTCCGAGGTTGTCCAGTGCCTTACCAAGGGTGTCGAGAGGGATGCGGAACTTGCGCACTTTTTCGCCCTCAGGGAGGTACATGTTGCCGAGAAGAAATTGTCGAATGGGAAGAGACTCCTCATAGTCGCTGAGGATCTTGTCGGCTTCGGCCTGGCGTGTGACACCGGCTTCCTGGATCTTCTTCATGGCGCGGACGTACTTGGGGAAGTCTCTGCTGAGTGAGACGTCCACCGGGGCATTGTCGACGGAAACGATGTCGGCCACAAGTTCAGGAGAGCGCAGTGCAAGAGCCATTGAGGTTTTGGCTCCCCTGGATCTGTCAGTTTGTTCGTGTTGGCTACTGTGAAGTATCGGCTACTGACATTGAGTGTCCGATGAGAGTTGTTTCCTTCAAACCATGACCCTCGATGAATTCAGCTACGTCCTGGGCCATGGCACTATAATCATGTTTGTTGCTGTGAGGTGACTCGCCATGGTTTCTGAGATCCTGTGAACTGGTATTGAGTTTCTATCAACCCTTCAGAACCGTTGACCGTTTACTTACCAAAGCATAAACATATCTTCCTAAGTCTCGGGCCAAAGCTCTGTTTTCACATCAGTTCCAACTCTCACATACCAGAAGAAAAATAAACCCACCTGCTAATGGCTCGGTTATTCTTCTTTGATCCGAAAAGTCCGTGGAGGAACAAAATTGGAGAGTTCCTCTTGTCATATTTTGGTTGTGAGGGTTCATGCAAATCGTAAACCAATGGCCCAACAGCTTGAGAGTAAAATCTCGTTCTTGGAGCTGCAGTCCGTAGACCCTGGCGCCCAACCACCGGGATTGCCGTCGTGGCTATCCTTCGCAAAGACAACATGGTTTCTCACACGGCAAATCCTGAAGTTGTTGAGCAAAGAGCCAATTACGTAGATCTTAAAATTGCCATTTTGGGTAAAGCTAGGTCGATTCGCACCGTTTTACTGCATACTTGCATATCTAATTTTCAAGCACCATGATGTCACCCCTTCCTTCTTCAGCTTTTGAGCTTGCCAATAACTTTGACACACATTCAATGAGAAACAAACATAATATCGCATACAACCTGGGCCCAGAAAGAGATTGAAAGAAACAACAACTCCCAAAACAATGGACTGGGATTCAGCGTGTGGTCTAGCCAGACGCTCAAAAACGATCAATAGGAAAGACAAGGTATGAGAGTGTACAAAGTTGGAGAAACAGGTTCAAGGAAATGTGTTGGTAAAAAGAGAGTGTATGGTTGGGCAGCTTAGCTGTCCCAGATGGCACCATAAGCTGGCACGCCGCGCGTCTCCAGGCCGTACACGACCTTTTTAGTGATCTTCTCGTTGGCTATTATTATCACGGCTTCGGCATCAAAGCTCTTGGCTAGGTTATAGCCCATTCGCACAAGGTCTGGTCGGCCTTGAGTCTTCGTATTCCAGATCACCGCGTCCGGAATAGCGTCTCGAACCTGGCCAACAAGCTCTTTGCCGAACGACTCTTCTGGTCGTGATGTAGACCAAATCAGCTGTGTAGGACATGTCTGATGGACAATGTGGCCTAGTAGCGGTCCAATCCCGGATCCTGTGGCGACAACGACGATTCTGTTGAAGAGAGTTGCGATACGCATCACACCACATGTTGGCACACCACGTACCCAGATGGAACTGGGAGGGTTTTGGATACAAGAACGAGTCCAGTCGCCGGCATTGGAGACAACCAACGAGTAACCCTTAGCATGCTGATTAGCCTGCGGGTTGGGGATGGTTGCAAAAGAGTGCCATTCGATCAAGGGTCGTCGTGATAAGCGGGTGAAAGTACCATTCACGGGAACGGTATAGTCGAAATGCAGGCGGACTGCATGGTCAGAAAGCACCTCGGCCTCGACTGGAACCTTGCGCAGGAAAAACCATGAAGAGGCGATGCTGAGTGTGGCCACCACCAAGAGCCAGAAGTCTGGAGTCTTAACGGCGGCGATCCCTAGCCCTTGGTGTTGAGGCCGGGAGTCGTTGATCGCCAGAATTGTCCGAGCCCAAAATAGACCCAACGATGTCCAACCGGCAAAACGATGGAAACGCTCAAAGAAGTTGTGGTATTGCTTCCGGAAAGAGGGCCATGCAGTAGCCACCATGGAGCATAGCAGCCCGCATAGAACCCACGATACGACCTGTGTCGCCAAGGACCCAATCGCGTGACCCTCGCAGAAACCTGCATTGCAGAGTGTTCCACGTACCGTCGAGATAACCAGCCATGCCGTGGCACAGACTCCCGCACCGGAGTGCACACCACCCAAGTGATATATCTTGGCACAGCGTTTCCTGATCCCGAGCGGCAAGTGCTTTGGAACTGAGCAGAAGATGGTATACAGAATGTTGATCACTGTATCTTGTCGCACAAGTACTGCGATTGCAAGGTTGATGGCAACGAAGATACCCAGCCATTCTGACTTAAGCTGCAGAGCTATCAGGCAGATTAAGGCCGCCAAGTTTAGTAGTCCTATGAGACTGAACAGGGTGCGATAGGCGATGAAGATCCTATGTCTTAGACCTCTGAGGGGTCGCGCCAACGTCTTATCAGGCAAACCACGCTCTAGATCAATTTTCTCAGTCAGAGTCGACAGAGAGGACATGGACGATTGGGACTTGAGTTCGACGTGGTTGTCCTGGACTTCTTCTTTCTCGTATGGTTGCGTTGCAACATCCTGCTTCGCCAAGGCCAGTGCCTTGAGTTTTCCCTTGTCGACTTTGCCATTTGGTGTTGAGGGTAACTCATCGAGGAGGTGGAGGTGTGTAGGAACGGCATAGTAGGGCTGGTGTTGCTGTACATGCTTAATGATGGTGGTTGCATCGCATCGGCGCGGGGTGGTAAACCCATGTATCTCTCCGTCGATCAGCAGCGCTGCCGCCCGAGACACACCTGGGGCCGAAGCTAGGGATGCTGAGATGCCGTCTAGCTCCACGCGGAAACCCTGAAATAAGGTTAGATCATGGCGAATGCACTAAGGGACTTTTGATGTACCTTTACTTTGACTTGATCGTCGACTCGGCCGAGAATCTCGACTGAACCATCAGTTCTCCAACGGCAAAGGTCGCCAGTGTTGTATATCGTTGATCTGGACTGTCAGCTTTGGCACAATCTAATCAAGCGAGGTATCTTACCCGTCATTGGCAAATGGATCTGGCCTGTATCTCTCCGCCGTCTTTTCCTCCAGGCCGATGTAGCCTCTAGAGACTCCACGGCCGCCTGCCCACATCACTCCTGTGGCACCCATAGGGACGGGTTCGCCTAGACGGTTGAGGATATATACTATGTTATTCGGAGTCGGTCGACCGATTGATAATTCTTGTCCAACGACATGGCGATGCATAGTATTTACGATCGTTGTTTCTGTAGGGCCGCAGCAGTTCCAATATGAGCCGTGACTTGCCCACAAATCGGCGAGACTACGCCGGTCAGTAACTGTTGGAAGCTATGCTCAGCTGAGTACTTACCCGGTTGTAGTAGGTTCGCCGGCTGTGGCCACTGTTTTTATCCTGGGATATTGTGTAGGATGGTATTTGGAGAGGATTGTTGGTGTGCAGATGAGGACATCAATCTGTTTCCGTGTAAGTCGGAGCCTGGCAATCGAGTGATGTGGCCGTCACGAACCTGTTGGAGAGTTGGTTCCCAATTGGAACCTCGGAGAACGAGTGTTCCTCCATTGCATAGGCAGACCAAGACCTCCCATGCCGCTGAGTTGGGTCAGAATTGGAAACATCGTGGATACGAGAAACTCACCCATGTCGAAACTTATGTTGAGGACCGAGCCAACGCAAGTGCCAGTTTCCACCCCCAGGTTTCCCGGTGCCAGGCACACAAGATTGGCAACATTTCTGTGTGTGATGTCGACGCCCTTTGGCTCTCCTGTTGTTCCTATTTCCTTGTGAGAAGTGCACTCTGAGACATTAAGCTCTGTCTTGACTTACCTGATGTATATATCACGTAACAGCCGGAATCTGGAGTTGCGAGATCGACGTGAACGTCTTCTTCGACAGGTCTCGTTTGTATTTCGTCAACAACAACCACAGTCTGGTTGGGATGTTGGGAGGTGACGCGGTGCTTTGTTGAAGACAGACAAAGGACGACGCCACCGCCGGCCTGCTCAAGAACTCGACGAATAGTTTTATCGGGAACGACACCCCCATCAAGAGGAACATATTGAGCTCCGCATGAAAGGATTGCCCATATACCAATGATCATATCCAGTCCTCTTTTAGCAACAAGGGGTACCCGCGAGTCAGGACAGACACCTCGAGCGATGAGCTCGGCAGCCAACTCTTGGGCTTGTTTTGCAAGTTGCCCATAAGTAAGCTCTTTTAGTGACCCTGAGAGATCACGGAGGGCTATGGTATCTGGAGAAGCTCTTGCATGGTGATAGAATGCTGAAGTGACTGTTGGGAATGGAGGCTCGACACAGTCCCCTTGGCCAAGTTGAAGAGCTGACTCGTGCAGGGAATGTCCCTGCAGCGGGCTGACGACGCTCATTGTGAAGAGGGAACCTTAAAGAGTGAAATAAGGCGAGAAAGAGACAATGGGGATTGTTGATGTCTGTTGTTGACCGTTGAGTTGACCCTGAGATTACAACGGACGGGCTTATATATTTTCAACGGCGTGGCAGAGGTGGCACCCGCCCTGGAAACGATGTTTCATCTTTGTCTTCTGAGATGCCCATACTCATCACTATCGGTCTTTGATCAATCAATCGTCCCTTGACATGTCTCCATGGGGGGTTTGACGTCGTCGTGAGATATGGAGGTTGCCCTGATTTCCACAGCAACTTGGGATCGAACTCACGCCCCCGGAGGGGACGGCGGACCCAGATTGTCATAATTGCTTCTGCATTCCTCTCACACCCGCCCGGGGGTCTTAGTTATACGGAGCCGGCCCCGGGGTACGGAAGAATGTGGGACGGGGCAGCCCGGTCAAGAGAGGAATGTGACGGGCGATGAGACATGTGGACACCAAGGGGGTATCCGGACAAGGGCCCGCAATTCAGGTACCGATAAATAGCTTTTCACATTGATGAACCGACTTCTGGGGTATTCCTTCAATACTACCTTGCCTGATTCCGATGGGCTGGATCTTAGTCGGGGTACTCGACCACACCCTGGAAACCGGAACCTCCCAGTCAATCTTAAGAGGTAGTGAACCCTTGTCCAGGGCTAACGATTATGACGGACATGTCTTGGAGATCCATTCCCGCCCTGCAATTTGGGGTGTGTGAAGATACCGTGAAGATATACATAGGCTGTGGCTTTTTGGTGGTACCAAGAGTGTCTTTGATGATTGTGCTGCCAGCTCGGAGTTGATGGCGCGTCTTTTTGGCATAAAAGATACTCAACTAAGCAGGGTTGAAGACCTGTCTGTCACTTCCTGACACTATCAACCTGCTCAAAGCTCTACTTTCCTTTTGATCATCTCTTCTTTGAACGTCATCAATCATCATGTCAGATGCCAGTCTCATCATTATTGACTCTCCCGCGCACGCACCAGGGGTGTCAGTGATCACACTCAACCGCCCAGAGAAGCGGAATGCCCTCTCAAAAGCCATGATCATTGAGTTCCTTGGAGCTCTTTCAAGAGCCTCGGCTGACTCAAACACCAAAGTCATTGTCATAACTGGATACGGCTCTTGCTTCTCGGGTGAGTTAAGTTCCGAACCACGTTTTCTCGGCAGTTTATTAACTTGCTTGACAGCTGGTGCGGATATCAAGGAAATATCGACGATGGATGCTGAAGCTGCCAGATCTTGTCGTTACCTGGAAGATCTGTGCCATGGCATGGCTGCTGTGAGAAAGCCTATTCTAGCAGCAGTAGATGGGCCTGCAGTATGGTCCCTTCCGCAATTTGCGATATACCTGTGACTGACAACTCGTGATAGCTTGGAGGTGGTTTTGAGCTTGCCATGATGGTGAGACTACCGCACAATGAACAATAGCCAGCAACTAACATGCATCAGTGTGACTTGATCTATGCATCGCCACGTGCAAATTTTGTGCTCCCCGAGGTGAATCTCGGTCTCATCCCTGGAGCGGGAGGCACTCAACGGCTCACGTCTGCCTTGGGCAAGTTCAGAGTAAGCTTCATGATACACGTGCTCGAGATGAGGCGCCGAGACTGGCTTTGTTTGTTGACTAACTCAACCTAGGCCATGAAAGCCATCCTGCTTGGAACGCCGATCTCGAGTGAAGAAGCATTGTCTTGTGGGCTGGTCTGCGACATGTTTAAGGATGGGCAAGTATTGGACAAGACTATCGAAGCTGCTGTGCAGCTCGCAGCTCGAGGTGGTGTTGCCGTTCAATTGGCTAAGGAAGCTGTATGCCGAGGTTTGTTGACATACTTTGTCTCATATTGCGGTCTTGAGCTAATGGTCTGTAGCTGATGATTCGTGCCGTGATGACGCATTTGAGAGGAGCTTGTATTACTTTGCTTTTGGAACAGAGGAAAAAGCAACAAGGGTTGAAGCCTTTCTACGACGGTAACTTGTTGACCCGAAGTATAGTTTCAGCAGATGCTTTTGTCTGGCATCGCTAGCCAAGTCCTCATCATCATGGTTCTGGTGGAGCAATATCGGGTTGCTTGAGCTCCTGCATACCAACGAATAGATGTCACTTGTTCCCTTCTGTAGCAATGATGGTGGAATTATATGATCTATTTATTACTTGCATCCCTTTCCCTTGTCGCTTACTCGCTCGCCCTATCGGAAGCTCCCCCAGGTCGTCAGTGGTCAGTGGAGTGAGACAAGAGCTTGATTTTCGGCGACGGACCGTGATCCCGCCAGAGTAGCTGTGTATATCTACTGTGCTCATGCCAAGCTTGCAGTTTGAGAAGAAACTATGTGAAAGCGATTATCGGGCAATACTGTGCTGAGATTGTCAGTAAAGGGGATCTGAAGACAGTTGGGGAGGCGTTCTGAGACCCGTCGCTTTTCGGCCTCTGTTTGCCACGCGCCAGGGCTTGACGAACTGGCGTTTAGGAATGGGAAGATCTTGTCTCTGTTTTAAATGCTGTCTTTCTGGAAACATGAGATGAGCGAGGGATGGAACGTTGTTGTTCCGTGGAGAGAACTCTTGCATGTGTCTGCCAGCAACTTGAGCGATCTAAGAGTCTGCAAGGCTCATGACTATCTCTGCAGTGACTATGTCAGTGACCAAGTTTCACAGGAATTCTCAAGTTGTCATGGGTTAATCGTCATTTGATCGTCGATCAGAGAACCATCTCATACGACGATATGTGATAGCTGATCGCTGGGATGCCTCTTTGCTTTTGGGGTGTCGTGAGTATCGGCATGTCAACTTTTCATCAGTGTCAAGATCACTAGTCTTGGTGATAGCCCTCAACTTCAGCTTGACATGGGCATGAGCATGCCTGAGAGGGTATTAGCAAGGCTTAGTAGTGGATGGGCCGGCGCCAAAAGGGTTGAGTGGCTTCTTTTCTCAAACCTCGCCTCAACTCTTTGCAAGGCTATACTTTTATCTTGGCCCGAAACATTCGTGCTCTCACAAGTGTAGGAGGTTTCGTTCTCACTCAGAGTACAGTACAGTAGAAGAAACATGAGGCTAGATAGTTCTCGTCGGCAAAGGGAGGGATCCACAGAGTAGTCTCAGTTGACGACCTGAATGTCGGGATATACCCCCTTGATCAGTTGTCATTATGATACTTAGTCCGTGTCTCAGCTATCACTCAGCCAGTTCCGTGGATACGGATTTCATTATATGGTGGTACTAGGCAGATGAGCAGGTGGACAAGGGCGAGAGATCTGCACAGAGACAGAGAGAGGAGACATGCCGAGTGTTCGGCCGAGGATAACCCCTGTAGAATACCTGTAGAAGCAAACAAGTGAGATGTATCGTGTCAGTTGAAGTGAGTAATTGATTCAACGAGTGCAGGATCTGAGACTCGTGCGAGATTTACTACTAGGATGTGTTGTTGACCTTGATCGATGCTCTCTGCGCCGTAGGAAAAAGCAATTATGGGTCAAGGGGGCTCATCCTGGTCGATCAGTCAAAGAAGCTCAAGACATTGCTCACTTTCTCAGCTCAGCCAGAGACTGACTCAGTCTTGGTTCGTCATTCATAACTTTTTTATGCATTCGAGAGCTTCTGCCTTGTTTTTGTCAAGTATCGAGTTGGTCACTTTCATCTCACATAACAATTACCCTGTAGGAGGACCACCTTCAATTTGCTTCAGATTAACACACTGACTGCTTGCACTCAATCTTGTTTCTATAGTCTTCGGCTATCTCTGCCCTCTTAGTAGACTCTGTGTGAGATAGTTGTTAGCCTTCCAATTCCTTCTCCAACAGCGCCACGACTCCAGCGTATACATCGTGAGACAGATCTTGATCCTCTAGTCCTACTCCTCGGCCGTGAAACTCTCCATCAATACATCGTGAGACTGCACTCCCGTAATTTGGTCCTATGAAGCTCGTCACTTGATCGGCCAATCGTTTCGCAGTCCTGTAGTCTGCAAAAAATTGAGAACCGGTGCTTGACTTGTCGCATTCGCTTCGAAGAAGCTCAAGGGACTTGCCGAAAGCGAGCTCAATCAAAAGGACTCCCAGATAAAACAACGACTGATTTCTCATCGAAGCCAGCCCGAAGCCCCCACTTCTAGAAGGACCTTCAGCAATTGGAAGGGTCTGTAAGACGAAGAAGCGCTCGCAGGTAGGGTCATCTTGGCCTTGTATCAGGTAAATATCCCAACTACGAATCGCCGCCGGCATCCATGGGCTTCCGTAAAGCTGGAGAATATTGGCAGCTATTATGACGGCGAGTCTGAGTCTTTCTTTTTCTGACAAGACCATGTATCGGCGATCCAGGCCAAGGACTTGATTCAGAGATATCATGGTTCTGTCGCACTTTTCTCTGAACTTGCTCGGAATGATTGGGTAGGCATTGTATGTGTGCGTTTTAGGAGCCGATACATCAAAGAGGAGCCCGTAGCATATTAATGACCCTGTTGTTGTGGGCTGCCTGATTTTCTCGCAAAGGTCCAGGTTGGTAGGTGACTGTTCAAGATCCTTAGAGGCTGCTTCGAGCTCAACAGAGTTGTCCGAGACTTTGACGGGGTCGCTCACTGGTGAAGGAGATGCACGGCTGCGCAACTGGCGTCCAACTAACTTGATAACTCGGAAGCGACGCTTTGTTTCTGGCTTGTTTGTGTGGACGGGGGCTTGTGGGAGTGGTTTGGGTGTAGCTTTCACAAGCATCTCGAACCACGCTCTATCATTACTCGACAGAGGAGGAGTTTTCGACCCAGAACTCTTGTAAGAGAGAGCAAGGTGGAAATTGATACTTTCAAGAACAGGGTAGTCTTCTGCATCATCAGGCATCATGTCGATGATCCGTTTCTCCAGTTGTAAACAAACGTGGTGCTCGCAAGGGCAGTCAAAGCTTGCTCGTACCGCTCCAAAGACTCCATTTGCGAGATTGCGCATGAGACACAGGATTTTACCCTGCAAACGGCTCTTCCTAGCTGGCTCAAGTTCGATGCCTCTATCCACGAGCTGTTCAAGAATCGAGGTCCCCTCATTGATCCTAGTGAGTAGATCGTCAAGGAATGAGTGGCGGAGTGATCTTTTTAGGTTGGACTTGTCCTGAACTTGGACGTTGATGCGCTCTGTAGCTTCTTCCATGGCAGTCTTGATCTCCCCAAGTGTTTTGTTGAAGAGATCAAACCCTCGCCACAGCCTCCTTCGAAGCTTGGCGTTGAGTTCTGGCTCGTCTTCCAACAGACCAAGAGGATTTTGGACAAGACTCTCTATCCGTGAATGAGGAACGAGGTCGACGAGTAGCTTTTCGAAGACGTCTTGTAGCCTTACTCGCTCATTCTCGAATTTATTCATCAGTCTTTCCAATTCATTCTCGTACCTGCGGCTTCGCTTGTATATGACTATTCCTTGGCTCCCCATCTTGAGCGTTTCAATCGCAATTGGGATGGCACCTAGAACAAGGCCTGCAATCTCAAGGCCAGACATGACTCTGATTATTTCATGACACCGAACTATTGATGAAATGTAGAGTTTTGTGTCCAAAGAAGACAGCCTGTTTCTCAGGCATTCGGGGGATCGGCTGGCTTGCATGACATGAGGGGCTGAAAGTGCAGATTGATCAGCTGAATGGCGTTGAGCGTCGATGATTGGGCCCCCGTCATACCATGGGTTGTAATATTTGCATACTGATCGTGCAGAAGCGCTCCATCTCAACTTCCCTTTCATGTTTCGGTCCTGAAGTCACCTCTCCTTTGTTATCATCACCTCTAGCAACCCCCCTGACTTATCAAAAATGTCAGTACGGATTGATCAACTGATGCGCGACTGCAGTGCTGACTTTGAGGCTCTGGTTGAGCAACTCGAGAAGGACGCAATCTCCGATTTCTTCAAGGGCACCGAGTTGAAACACTTCAAAAACGAACAGAGTCGGCTTATTCGATGGTCGCAAAAGGTTGGAGCTCAGTATCCAGGAGAGAAATCTTTGGAGCAGCGACTACAGAATGCTCAGCATGTCAAACTACAGACGATTCGTCTTTTGAGCAACATCCAAAGGTTAATACAGGACGCTATCTCGATTACAACGGGAGAAAAGGTTCCTTGGGACAGAATTGATGACGATGAGGAGACGACATCAGATGATGAGAACCATTCCCAGGATCGTTTGCCAGAAACGGAGATGGAACAAATTCTGGCTCATATAAAAGAGCTCATTGACAACCTCTCATATCTCGGTGGGCCGATTGGAAACGCAGCACCAGGTAATACAACGATGGGCATTCCCGAGGATGAGAGCACTCCCTCTGAACCCTTTGATATCCAGCATGTTCGTTCAAAGCATCCCATGTTAGATCAAGCGATAGCAGAACGTCTTGGGAAGGCCATATCTATCAGGCGAAAGCTCTTCAAGGACAGAAAAGACGGCCAAGACCAAGGCCAAGAGCTAATGACACTCGACTCTGACCGTGTGTCAGCATCACCAACGCTCGAAAGTCTCACAAGTCAACTTGAACTTGCAAACCTGGCACATATGACTGAAGAGTATCCCGAAACAAGAAGGGAGATTTCGCCTGGGACCTCGTGTTCATCCTCGCAAATTTTACTAATACCAGACCGAATACCTGACCTTCCAAACGGAGCCATTGAGGGGAACCCATTTCGATGTGTGGGCTGTGATGAAATGATACAAGTGGCATCAAAAGTTGCATGGAAGTAAGTTGACGAAGGAGGATAACATAAAGACGAACTGACAGTAAGCAGAAAGCATTTCTATCAGGACCTGCGACCATATCTTTGCTTGGAAGAGGACTGCTCCACGCCTCATTATCGGTATGCTCGTCGCAGAGATTGGATGAGCCATCTTCTCCGGGAACATTGGACGATCTATATTTGCCCTTTTGGATGCGACCTGAGATTCACGTCAAGAAATGAGTGTAGAGAACATCTTCGGGACCAACATAGCTATGATATGGCTCCGGCCGAAATTGAGGACTTGGTTCAGCTTAGCACCTTCAATGAGACCGAAATACCGAGGAATTTATACTGCGCCCTTTGCAAGATGAGACTAGAAGACGTCGAAGAGTTTCGGAGTCACGTTGACGAACACCAAAGAGAGCTGGCCCTCTTCGCAATGCCACGACGCAGTCGGAGGAAGTACCCAAAGCCGCATATGCCAAGGAGGACTGACTTTAACTCAGAACATAGTCCCCGAAATAGGTGGTAGCATTGTACAAGAGGAGGCTGAGGAAAAGGGACCCCCAGGGCTGGACGGACATTGTGATACGTCTGAAGATCCGTTCGATAATCCTTCGTTGGGCATAGGAAGCTATGCAAGAGGGAGTAGTCGAGCAGGGATGATGTGGAAATGCTGTTACTGCAATCACGGATGGATGAACTTGGCTTTCTACCCTAATTGCCCGGAATGCTGAGTGTCGCGTTGCGATGGCTGCACGTATGACTACTAGTCACCGGTATTAATTACACCAAAGGGAACTGAACTTTAGGATGACATGTATCCATCAGAGCAGGCGTGAGATAATACGAAAACAAGCAAGAACTAAACAAATGATATCTCATAGCTTTTTGAAGTTCTGGACTATCAGATAGGTCTATACAACATCATTACACTTTCAACTTCTTCATCGCTGAAACCAGGGTATCTGCCGACCTCCTCGCCATATCTGACTTCTTTCCTAATATCCACAAACCCTTTACACAATCTTGTGCACGACGCATGCTCTCCTGAAAATCATGACCAGTGTTGGCCGGTGTAGTAAGTCCAAACTCCAAGAAATCATTCGCTTCGTGTATTAATATCATAGCTGCCTTGGCAAACGCCCTGATGAGGATGATAGTCCAAGGCTCTGTAAGAATAGTTGCTTCGTTTACTGCATGGTGGAAATGTGACATCTGAGGTGCCGTCATGTTTGGTAGGTTGTGACTTGGTGTTGATACTTTTGCCAGATCGGATAGTTCTCGTGCACTTGCTTCACGTATTCTTGTGACCATCTTGCTGGCTAATCTGCTTTGAGACGCTGTTGCTTCTCCTAGCTCGTTCTCATCGACATACTCGATCAGATCGGCGAGCATGAGGGCACCGAGATTCCAATGTGCCGAGATACAGACAAACCAACTCTGAAGACGGGCTGGCACTGATTCGTAGTCGTGAAGGAGCTCCTTGAAGAACGCACCATGCGTCATATTCCAATATCGATATAGCGAGGTTGTGTTTTTGATTGTTTCTTCAACTTTCTCACCTCGACCACCTCTTCTTAGAATGTTTTGCAGATAAGAGACGTGTCGGAAGAGGAGGACCTTCACGGGTGCTGATTTAGTGACGGCTTCAGCTGCCGATTCATGAGAGCAAGGCCAGTGCACAGTATGATACATGTGAGGTTGCTCCAGATTATCTTGGATAAATAGAGGTACGTTCCACCGTCCGTTTGTCGTCGAGTCAAGATCTTCGTCTGCATCGTCATGCTGACTGTCTGCATCAGCAACAACAACCGGACGCTCGCTCATAGATGATGAAACAGTATCAAGCATAACAGCAAGCCAGTAAAGCAGCCCAACAGTGCCACGGTCTTCAGGGTTCATCATAGACAACAAGTCGTTGTTCTTCGGGCTAGTGAGAGGCCCAGTGACTCCACGGCGGCCTGAATCGAAACGGAATTTGAGAGCATGCATCTTTCGTGCGGCTCTCTCCATGAAGACCGGAAGGCCATCTCGTGATATGATTTCTCCAAGCTCGGCGTTCAAAGCCTTCAGATCAACCTTTGGAGAAGCACTGATCAATGTGCTGGGGTTCTTCGGGGCCATCGCCTCATCATCGCGGGTCCATGGCTTTTGCGTGAGACCAAATATTAGCTCCGCCGTCGCCACACGATACGATTCAACGTCTGAGACTTCCTGCAGGGCTCTTTTTGCCTGCTCCCAGATATTCCGTTGAATGTTTCGATCAAACTCCTCATTGATGTCGTTGAGAATATCCTCCGGCCTTTCATCCTCGTCAGAATAGCGCTGTTGTTGGCGTCGACTGCCTTGAGCCCATTGCGTTGCAAATGCCATGATAGCAAGGTGGAATGCTTTGGCGGCGCCTTGATCTTCAGCCCGAGTTAGCCGAGTGAGTTTGGCTGTCTGGATTGCATGATCCAGGTTGATAGTGCGGCGATAGATACGATTTGACCACGATGATCCCCATTCTGTAGGGGCGTAATTCCCTGAGGTGACATATCCTGGAGCTCTGTAGGGGCATGTGACTTCTGTGAGCCAACATGAAAGATTATGTTCGAGAACATCATGGTAAATTTGAAGGAGATTTGTGGAAATGAACTGGTTGTTGGTCCTCGTCATCATTGTCTGGTCAACTGAGAATGGCGATAACGAGTTCATACGACGATCAGTCCAGATTGGCGATGTGCGCCGACGCTTGAACCTGGTCACGTCGTCTTCGCTAGCGGTGTCCTCTCCAATTGACGGCGTAGATAAGTGACTGTAAGATCTAGATGAGTTTGATGGAGGAGCGGATGACCAAGCGTTGAGTTGTGACTGGATTGAGAGACGTGAGTCATTCGGTTGCGAATAAGCCGATTGCGGGTAACTGGGCGAGAACTGGCCAGTTATGGTGTTATAATTATTAAGAGGTGATGTATTATTATGAGTGAGAGGTGTCTGAAATGCGGTACCGTTGATTGAGCTTGGGGCTGGTGGTTGAGCTGCTCTTTGAAGGTTGGGTGAACGCGGGCCTTGAGTGAGACGATTTGGGTCATGAGACAAAGGCCTTGATGAGCCATTGACGCGCGAACCCGCAGATATCGGATCTTGTTTCTCAAAGGCTGGTGTTGCTTGGTGTGATGTATGAGCCGCTTCACTTCTTTGTCTCTTGACCGGAACACTTGGCCCATGGCCTGAAGCATCTATTGAAGTCGATGCTTGTATTTGTGACCAAGCCCAGTTCATAGTACACGTCTTCCTCGTCTTTGTGCAGTAAGAACAAGGCTCATGGCCAGTCCCAGAGGCTACCTCAATTAACTACAATTAGCCATGGTCATCAGAGGCCGATTGACTTACCGAGCCGCTCTCCAAGTGTCATGGAACTGGTGCTGCATCTTGAAGATGCAGGGCCAAGAAGAGGTGGTGCATCGCAAGCTCGTTTTGACCTTCGGCATTGGTCACAGGCGTAATGACTTCGCTTCATATTCCCATCTCACTCCACTGCGAGCGTTAAGAGGTCCCTTGGGCTGAGCTTTGTTTGGCGGCGATGATTGTGAGTTTATTATGAGATGGCTGTTCATGTCACCCTACTGGAATAGTGGAGTGACAAAAAGTTAGACGACGCATCGTGGTAGCCTACTCGCCGGACAGGAGGAGCTATCTAAAAATCTAAGCTTGGACTCTGGTACTCCACTAATATCTGACATCCGCTTCCCCGGTTAAAGGGCCATTAATTAATGTTAATATTAAATAGTAAAAAACTAGCCACTTTTAAATACTAGCTATTTATTAAATTACTAATTAAATAAATATTTAATTAAAGTTATTTTATTTTATTTAATTAATTTTTAAAAAAGATTTAATTATATAATTAATATTAAATTATATTTAATTATTAAGTAAAAGTATTTAAAAAAATATAAAGTTTTAACTTTATTAAAACTATTATTAAAACTATTTTTAATTAAAATTATTACTTTTTTATTAATATTACTTTATTTACTTTTAAATATAAAGTTAATTAATTATATATTTTAATATATATAATTAATTAATAAATATTAATTTAGCTTTTATTAATTAATTTATATAAAAGTTAACCTAATTCTTTTAATTTTAACTTTAATAGAACCTTTAAACCCTATTATTACCTTACGTTTATCTCTTTACTTTTATAGTCTTAAACTATAACTAGCCTATTAACTATTATATAAATAAAAGAAAGATAAATATATATTTAGCCTTAATAATTATATTTTATAGTTACTTTTTATAGCTAGTTAAATTTAAGCTTAAAAAGGTAATTAAAAAGATAGCTTAATTAATTATTAAGGTCTTACCTTACCTTATAGCTTCTTTTAAGTCCTTTAATTATAATAGCTTTTTAGTTAATTAATTTAAAGATATTATATAATTTAAAATATTTAAATTTATATAATTAATTATATTAATTAAAATAATTTTTTAATAAAAAGTTTTTCTTAATAGCTATAGTTATTATATAAAACTTATAGTATTTATAGCTTATAACTTTTAATAATATTAATTTAATTATATTAATAAAATTATAATTAATAATATAATAGGCCTAATTAGCCTATAGGCTATTATATATAAGTATTATAATAATAATTATAATTAATATTAATAATTATAATTAATAATTAAATTAAAAATATATTTATAAGTTTATATTTAATCTTTTAATTAATTAAAATTTAATTAATTTTTAAGTAAAATATAATAATACCTTAATAATAAGGCTAATTAATCTTTTATTATATAACCTTAAAACCCCTTTAAGTTTATTATAAAAACCCTTTATATAGAAATTTTATCTCTTTAAGCTTTAATTAATATAATATTATTATATCTATTTAGCTATTATTAATAAATTATAATAATTTTAAAGTTTTTATTTAAATTATTTAAATATAACTATTTTAAATAATAATTTATTTTATTAAATAAATTATA